TTTTCATTTTATTGATTTTATGGAGAGCAATGTTCATTAAAATGTTGTATCCTATGTTATAGGGCTTGTTTCGCTCTACAATTTCCTGTCTCACAATGTACCGTTTGTGTCAGGGACGGGGTCATAGTTTCATAGTTGTCGATTTTCGAAAGAAATCGGTTTCGTATATTTTTCATTTTATTGATTTTATGGAAAGCACTGTTCATTAAAATGTTGTATCCTATGTTATAGGGCTTGTTTCTCTCTACAATTTCCTGTCTCACAATGTACCGTTTGTGTCGGGGAAGGGATCATAGTTTCATTGTTGTCGATTTTCGAAAGAAATCAGTACATGTATATTATTTCGTATATTTTTCATTTTACTGATTTTATGGAAAGCACTGTTCATTAAAATGTTGTATCCATTGTTATAGGGCTTGTTTCTCTCTACAATTTCCTGTCTGACAAAATACCGTTTGTGTCGGGGAAGGGATCATAGTTTCATAATTGTCGATTTTCGACAGAAATCAGTGCATGTATATTATTTCGTATATTTTTCATTTTATTGATTTTATGGAAAGTACTGTTCATTAAAATGTTGTATCCATTGTTATAGGGCTTGTTTCTCTCTACAATTTCCTGTCTCACAATGTACCGTTTGTGTCGTGGAAGGGATCATAGTTTCATTGTTGTCGATTTTCGAAAGAAATCAGTACATGTATATTATTTCGTATATTTTTCATTTTACTGATTTTATGGAAAGCACTGTTCATTAAAATGTTTTATCCATTGTTATAGGGCTTGTTTCTCTCTACAATTTCCTGTCTCACAATATACCGTTTGTGTCGGGGAAGGGATCATAGTTTCATAATTGTCGATTTTCGACAGAAATCAGTGCATGTATATTATTTCGTATATTTTTCATTTTATTGATTTTAGGGAAAGCACTGTTCATTAAAATGTTGTATCCTATGTTATAGGGCTTGTTTCTATCTACAATTTCCTATCTCATAATGTACCGTTTGTGTCCGGAAAGGGTTCATAGTTTCATAGTTGTCGATTTTCGAAAGAAATCAGTACATGCATATTATTTCCGATTTTTAGTTTATTGTTTTTATGTATTTTTTTTTTGTTACTAAATATTTTTGTGGTTTTGTTTGTTTTCTTTATTTAATAAATGTTTTTATACTTTAATTAGAATAGTTTTTTTACATTTCCAATTACATATTGCTCGTTTGTCGCAGAATATAAATTCTTTAAATTTTTGAGATTAAGATTAAAATATATAAATTGATTTAAAGCACCAAAGAATGCTGCACGTAGGCGCCAGATACCCCAGGAACGGGCCTGATTGTATGTCATCGTCGAAAGCTTAATTGGTCAATTTTCATTTTCATATTTTATATTTTATTTGAGCTGGATAATTTGAAACAATGAAACATCCCAAATGAGAGCAATATCAAAACAATCTGGGTTTTCCCTTGAATCATTCTGAGTATTATCATCAGAGACTTGTGTCTCTTAAAAACGAAAACAATATATCGCAAGAAATTCGAAATTCCGATAACTAGATCAAGGCGAGATAATTTCCTAAAGAAAATATTACTTCGACATCGCACTATTAAGAAACGAATTATTTTAAAATGAAAAAAAAAGTTACTGATAAAGTACCTACACAATGTTTAGTTTATGTATTTTATTCTTGAAAGCGATTCAAGGTAATTCATATAGAAAAAAATATATATCTGTATTCTGTATACCTTTATCTCTAGAGAGAAACGATACGAAATTTAAAAAGTCTCTCCCAGTGAAGAAACAATAACGGCTTGATTTCCTTTTGCAACCAACGACTGTAATAGTCCAGGAGGCAGTGAAGATTTTCGGTACTTATTTTCCCAGTCAGCAAACACCGATAGAATCATTCGGTATTTCGGTATGTTATTCTAAGCAATATATGTTAGTATATCACATAAATTAAGATTGACTGACGTATTCAATTGTTTTTAGTCACTTCCTGTTTTACCGGAAATGACTACAACTTTTGATTTTTAAATGACACCCTCGCTATTTTTTACCTTATTTGATGACACTCTGAATAGAATAACATATCATATATCAATTTTTTACATTTTTGCTTTTTCCAAATATGCTAATGAGCCACCCTTGTTCCATTTGAAAAAAAACTGAGATATGATTAAAAATACGATTTGAGCATTTTTTAACCGGTCAGGACAAGAAACGAAAAACATTAGACGATCAAATCTATTTTTCCAAGGCTACTTGATTAAAAATTGGTGTTTTTAACACAACCATAGCACTCTGGATTGAAATTTAAAATACAATTTTGTTTTAAGCAAAAATGTCAAAAATTGAAATATGATATGTCATTCTATTCAGAATGTCATTTTCTATCGAATAAAGTAAAAATATTCCGAGGGTGTCATTTAAAAATGAAAAGTTGTAGTAATTTCCGGTGAAACAGGAAGTAACCAAAAACAGATGAATACGTCAATCAACCCAACGCACCCGGTATATGTATGGGGGGGTCCGATGCGGCAAATACGTTAGAAAGTTCAAATATACTGCACTTTTTTTCCAACAATAAAAATAGTTCTATTAGAGAGAGATGTTGTGTAGTAGTCCAAACCAAACCTGGATACAAATTATTGAAACCATTGCCTTTATTTTCACAGTCCTAAAAATTTGTCAGATGATAGCTTATATTATAATTATTGCAAATGCAAATTATAGTCTGGCTAATGTGGAACATCCCGAAAGCCTTGCCAGACTTGTTTTGTAATTTTTTTGTAATTCGGCATGCTCAATTATACAGGTGATTTTGTCATCTCTACATGTTTTGACTTTTCATAATTTATAATTAGAAAAGTTAGAGCTAAATTTGACTATGACTAAGAACAATTTTCTCATCGTTTTAAGACCCCAGGAAACCAAAAAATATGGGTTGAGCAAAATGTCAGTCCGTCCGTCAATCATCAAAAAACTTCATTCGCCAATAACTTTGTAACTATCAGAGATACGAGATACAAAAATTCTCATTTTCGTACATTTCGTACCCCCCCCAATTCTGCTCCCCTCCCTACAACAACCTGACTTGTGAGTTTGGCGGAGCTTTTGTGATTACAAACTCGAAGCCAGACGTATATATTATAGTATTATTTATCATGTGACAAATTTTGAAATCCGGGAAAATAAGATCAAAAATTTTGTAATTTTTGATTACAAAATATTTTGCCAATTTCGTAAGTCAGCCAGACTTGCTTTGATTATAGTTTATGACAGTATCAAATGATACGTTAAATTACGATTTCAAAAATCTGTCAAATTTTTGTATGCTCAAATTTTCAGCCAGACTGATTTTCCGGCACTTGGGATGTGGCGTTATTCCCATTAATAAAATTATTCACTTTAATGAATGTTAAATATTTATCATGACACAAATTGTCATTAAATGTCACCACTCGAATTAACATTATATATTCACCCACTGGGAAAATACAACTTTATTTACCCACTGGGAAAATAAGTACAAAAAAAATCCACTGCCTCCTGGACTATTAAGGCAACAAGCACATAGTTCAAAATTCGCTTCGCTATTGAAGCGATTTCTCAACAAAACCATTCGACAATAGAGTAAATAATAAGATTGATATAATTTCATATAAAATAAACAGTCCTTATTTGAAATAAGCACAGAAAACGAATTATAAAATTCAATTAGATAATTTTTGCGAGTCAAAAGTTATCAAACCCCAACCAACGGTATTTATTTGTAAACAATCATCACTGACGTCGATTTTAATCGATTTTTATTGATAGAAAAAGACTGCCAATTTACTGTATATATCCCTTAAGTAATTACATATAATCATGTTTTTATTATACTTCCTCGTTCAACAAAATGTGCTAAATTAAAAAAAATCATTTCCGCATTGGATATATGGCTGTTATTTTGCATAAACCTTTTATTATAAACGGTAAAATAAAATGAAAAAAATAAATGCATTATATTAGCCCTTCGGCTTATATTGACTATTTGTTTACATTTGTAAAACTCCATTGTTATTAAAATGGAAAAGTATTTAAGTTTACAAACTAGATATTAGATATTGTCAAGTAAATTCGGAAACTACAATGAATGTGAAACAAAAAATTGATTATGTCAGTTTTTGTAAATCACATTGTAATGTAAAGTACTGTTGAAGCAGTTCAACAGAGTCGGACTCACATATTTTCGCAATTTATAATTTCTGCTCTTTAACATTTTAATTTTCTTAAAAATCATATTCTAAAAATGCATAATCCTAAAAATACTCAACAACAATATTCTTGAAAAAATAATTTGAAGTTTATGTATAATAGTAAATAAATTATTATTTCATAAAAAAAATATACTTATTTTCTCCTTATAGGTATCTATTAGTTGTAATAAATCTTTACTAGTTTGCTCTTTAATCCTTTGTTATTAATATGAATTATTACTAATATGTATCACTATAAACGTGTCTTATCAGTTAAAATAACCAGACTACCCTAAAAATCCCAATTTTATCAATAAGTTTATATATTATTTTCTCTCTTCACAATATCTTACGTCAAAATAATATGTATGTGCATATAAAAATGTCCATAAAACAAGTATAAATACGTATTGTTAAATAAATGACTCAAAAATTTAAAAAAACGGTAAAATTAGATTTTTAAATTGCGTTTTTTTTCATGAACAGGTCTAGAAAATTGCATTAGTTATAAGACGACAGATATGAAATTTATGGAGTAATTAACTGTGTATAAAGTAATAATTAATATGAAAAAAAAAGATCGTTGATAAAATCTAAACAATTAATACTTGTGCGTTAAAAAAAATACTGTATCGAAAATGGCTTTTAGGTGTAAATGATTTTGTAAGATTGCGCTATTGGGCCGATACCTTCCTGTATCTAATCAGACGGCCACAGTATACAGTATTCCCCATCGAGATAGGTTATAACGATTTACCTGAGATATTTAAAAGACAATTTTAGTTTGGTTCGTTTGAACTTTGGTTTGAAGTGAAGTGTAGTGAGATCGAACTGTGCTTAATTTGACATTTTTACACGTGCATTTTCTGGCTAATACCACCCTGGAAAAAATATCGCAAATTTTCGTGTATGTATTAATTTTCAATATTTTTTTCTTTTTTTTATTCGAAATTAATTTAAAATATTTTTTAAAGCGCATAAAGAGCTTAATATCTGGATATTGTTACCGGAGACTGGATACCAAAAATGTGAAATTAAAATACGTAGTTAATTTTAAATACAGCTTTATGTCGAAAATGAGAAAAATTTATTAAAATAATTCGTGAACAACTAAATAAATACATAAGTAGTGTACAAATATTTTCAACGGAAAACTATGTAATCCTAATGATAATCATAGTAATTTTAAAGCACGAAAATAACAGATATTATTTTCCTGCGATTGCATATGCAGGAGACTTATTTTGTTTGATTTGAGCGCTCATTTATCCAAACTATAGTTTATAATTCTTGTATACTAGAAACAAACAGTAGTTTTTAGTATTTTATAGCTTTATAATACTATTTTAATTAAACTTTCGTTAGTTAAAGAAACAATACTTATGAGATTAAAATTATTTAGCATAGATTTTTATTTCTTTATAATATCCTTGTTTTTATCTAAAATAAGGAAAAATGTATAAAATAATTAAATATTTTGTTACTATAATATGCCTTATGTTATTTGTATTTGAATTAATTGTTTCTTGGAGTAATTATTAGTTTTATTTTATTTTTTCTTCTTTAAAATATTTGTTTAGTTTATAAAATCCAAATATGAAGAAATGTACAAGATATCAAAGAGACTTATGACATTATTTATTAGTAGATATTTCAAGTTTTCTTACTTTTATTTTATTTTTTCTTCTCCAAAATATGTTTTTATTTTACAAACTCTATACATATAAACGGAAATATCGAAAAGACTTATGATATTATTCATTAATATATGTTCATTGGTATACAATTTTTTTATAAAGAAACACAAACATTATTTTTAACATATATTTTTATTTCTTATTAATGCCTTGTTATTATTTTTTTATAATGAATGCCTGTCTTTAAAGTCTCTAATTATTTTAGAAAATCGAAGGAGATGTCGAAGACATCAAGGATATTTATTATTGACATTATATATTTTCTTAATTACTTCATTTTCCATTAAGTTGTTACCGGGTTAATTACATGTAAATATCAATAAGAGATTGACTTTTCGATTTAAAGCTGCTCTAATATTTTCTTGAAGTAAATATCAAAAATTTGTATTGTGTTTCATTTAATATTCTATTCGCTCTATAATGTTATACGTTGTGATACAAATAATCTATTACAACATTGTGAATAAAAAAATAATTATTAAAAAAAAAGGAAACCAAATTAATTGATGAAAATATCTTTATAACTTTATGAGAAATATAAAAGCTGCCAATTTTTTTTATTCATAAAAAAATAATGAAAAGGAGCACTTGATATAATTGATTTAATATTTGGCCTATTTATACAATTTCAATGTCTGGATAAACAATTTGAAGGAACGAAAAAGACGTATGCCGACTGTGATTTCGACAGTGTAATAACTGTTTAATTTACGGATATTTATGTGAAAAAGTGGAGCCGTATATGAGATGAAAATGAGAAAACAAGTAGAGAAATCTGGTCGAGAGGCAATTCGTAGACAATAGAACGAAATTGGCTAAAATATAAAACACATAAAAGTTTTTTTCAGCTGAAAGCTCGCACATAATTTTTCACTCAAAACCTCTCGTTTTCAATATTTATACATATATAATTTAAAAATAAATACAAAAAATATATATAATACAGATTTAGATGTAAAAAACATTTTTCTGTAATATAATAGTAAGCAATATACGACAATATTAATTTTTTAAATACTCGTTAATGCACCACAGGCTCGTGCTTAACAAATTAATCAATATTTTTTTATAATTAATCCATTAAGAAGCTGTAGGATAATCCAGCCTATAAATTTAAGCTTGAATTATCACAATACGTAGAAGTCATATTATAGGTATACTAAATCTATTTCAATTAGATCATTTCAGATAATAGCTACTTAAAATTATCATAATTATTCTTAACTTTAAAATGTCAGAAAAAAAAAACAATTTTCTGTATGGAAAACCTTTGAAGAAGATGCATGAATTAATAAAATGCGAATTGATAAGTACTTTTCATTAATATTCATGTCTTATCACTGGGAAAAACGAGCGTAACATATACTATATATTCCTAATATATTCGATTCTCTTAAAGGTTTGGGGATTCCCTTAAAAAAATTAATATATTTTATGAGACAGTTTTAAAACTATAAACGTCATGTAATTGTACTTCACAGAAATTAATAAAATTACTATAATTTATTATTATTAATATATACAACGTATAATTATAAAATTACAAATAAATTAGAAGTACATACGTAAAATTGAGATACGTGTATCAAATAAATCAGATTAAATAAAAAACAAAAACAAGTCACCAATAATTTACTTATTAATTTAATATTTTTATCTGGGTCATATTTTGGAAATAAAAAATAAATTTAATAAAAAAGATTGAAATCTGGCACTAATCTATATCTCAGCATCTATATTTATTAAACTTTATTAGTATTTTTTTTAATATAGAAATGTAGGTACACAGGTAGGTTTACTGCTCATTGGAATATTAGATTTAATTGGTCAAACTTTTTCTGTCCGCACCCTTTGTTCAAAAAGTTTTAAATACTTGCAAAATTGTTTTAAAAAAAAATATTAATAAGAATTGGAAAATCCAGGCCAACCCAAGTCTATTTTTTTCGAAAGTCACAGTACCTTTTAACGTAAATTTAATTTAAATCTAAAGGGGCGTCCAGACCAGATGAGCGAGCAGTAACGAGCGCGAGCAAACATTTATTCAAATTCACTCGTGATTTCTGCTGCTCTCGATTACATGATCAGCTTCAGTCCAGACTAGCGATTATTTGTATGTTCGGCGTTGATCGGTGTGTGGCACTTCATGTTCATAATGTCGGAAAAAATTATTGCTTGTGCGTCTTTCATTGTATTTTATAAATTATTGAAACGTCAAAAGAGAAAATTGCAGAGGAGATGGTGGAACATAACTCTTTTTAAAAATCCAGTTTCTCATGGTGGTAACAATTTACTAAACGATGTTGAAACAGAAGATTCTGGAAAATTTAAGAACTTTTGTCAGATGTCACTTAGAGATTTTAATACTTTATTAGATTTAATTGACATAAAAATAATGAAAAGTGATACGAATTACCGAAAAGCAATTTCACCTAGAGAAAGGGTTTAACTATAACCTTACGGGTCTTGGCGATTTTTGTACTCCTCTATTAAAAAAACAACTTCGGCCATTCCATTTTTGATATTTGATCGCAAACGTGGTAAACAAAATCCTTTCCAAACCGAACGTGCAATAGCGCGAATTTTCTTTGATGTACCGACACGGCGTGGAACAGCGTCGAGCGCGAGCAAGCAATCATTCGCTCGCTCGCAGAGCCGTCCACACCAGTTAAGCGTTCCCATTTCCCATAGAACATACCCGAATTCTTGCTCGCTCCTTCTCGCTCATCCGGTCTGGACGCCCCTTAATACTTAAATAAACTCACTGGCACGAAAAACGGGCACCTTAAAATTTTGATGTACTTTAAAATTGTATATATTGTGTTGTAGTGGACCGACTATGATGACGTTTCTAAATTAAAAATGAACGTTCCCTTGTGTCAATTATACGAGGGAATACCAAATGTTGTTATTTTGGTAAAAGTTTGGAATACCCTTTGGAATATGTTCAAAAAGCAAGGAATTTAAAAATCATTTTATCATCTAGGTGCATCTTTTCTCGATAGTTTACCTTTTGATTCATCTCAATAGCTTATTTATAGAGATATTCTCTTTTGAAGAAGACACTAACATTTTTTCGTAATTTTTACACTAAAAACATACCGTTGCTTTTGGTCCCAGTCAACAGGCGCATCTACAGATTGAGACATAGCACCGAATATTAACTTGTGCCCGTAGTCTTAAACCACGCGCCGCTACTGATACTTCCTCATTTTCATTACTTTTCAAATAGACTGTTGTATATACAATTTACATATTTTTTAGATTAAATAATTTTTATAATACTAGATCTTAATTTAATAAATAATTTTGTTAGATTAGAATGTTAGACCAGTAATTGAAACAAAATATAAGACCATCATCGTATTATAAATATTTTTGAAAGTCATCTGCCATACTCTCGATACAAATCCCTGTCAAATTAGAACATGTAATAAAATCAAGATAAGGAGTGTATTCTGTTAAAAGATCAATGTTAGGATATCAATATCAAGACACTTATTAAATCAAACAGAGATCTAAAGTTAAAATCAACACTCCACAGGTTGAAAATAAGAAATTGGTTTAGTTTGAGCGTAAACACTTTTAAGGAACCAACAATAAACAACATTTTAAAAGGATCTCTTTTAGTTCCGGTAGAGGAACGACAATATTCGGTGTAAAGCGGTGTAAAAAAGCAGGAAATAAAATCAATGAAGTAAGAGAAAACTCGAACAAATAATCTAAGTTTTAGCCACGAAACCGTCAATTACGCAAAGGCTCAGAAATAGAATTGTTATAGTTTATTTTCCTTGTATTTATTGTTTTTCTGTATTTCCAGAGATTCGCTTTGGTTTGGCGACCATTTTTTATCGAAAAATATTACATGACTAATATAATATTAGAATATACCATGAAAACCGCGCCAAAACAGTCTTGACAACTAAAATATCAAGCGTACGTTAGTTAAAAACTAAAAAAATAAATTAATAATTTTTAATTTCTCAAATATTTAGATTGTGACACCTTTGAAGCCTTTATATTTAAATTACAATATAAAACTATTTATTGTTTTTAAGCATTTCCGTGCCAGACATAATAAAAATAAACCTAGAGATAAAATTTTATTTCTAAGCCTACTATGACGGCGTTTTTATTCGATCACGAGATATCATTGTTAATAAACAAAACAATTTCATAGTATTTCAAACCCTACTAGATTACTTAATTTAATATAACAGATTAATTAATCAAATTTGTAAAAATGTGTCCGTAAGAGGCCCAATCTATTTTTTATTTGTTCCTAACTATTAAATTTGCTTATAAAATTATACAGTGGATCTAATATTTATCAATGACTTCAAATAATTCACAATCAGCTGTCACTTTCATTGTTAAGAGCTTGAACGGTGAAAAAAATAATAATATTACTATTTTTAATAGTAATATATACTTTGAATAATATTTTTTTAAATCACTATTTTAAATACGTAAAAAACCAAACAGTTCACTTGGAATTTTAAACGTCAGAAAAATTTGTGCATAATTATAACCGCAAGTTAGAATCGAATTTACTTCCAACGTTATAGTTAAGTACAATATGTATTTTAATTAAAGCATCATTCTTAAGTCGTTTCTATTTCTAATCGTAAGTATTAAAGCATATTTGTATAAGTCATAATCATACTTAATATAACGATGTGATAAATAAATAGGAATAGTTTATTAATAGACTTTTTAACTTATTCAATTTTTTTTGCAAGTCCGCTGGTCCAAACTTTATTGAATGAAAAAAATTATTACAAATAATATATATATATATATATATATATATATATATATATATATATATATATATATATATATATATATATATATATATATATATATATATATATATATATATATGTTTGTCTTAATCTTCGGTGCTGCAATTAGTAATTTTAAATATTTAATCAGTAATTTTAGTCTCAATCTTAATTAATTCTTGGTTTTTTGTTAATTTCTTTACTGAAGTACTTAAGCAGGTACGTGCACTGGCATAATATTTTGTACCGTGTACCTTAAATGTTAAAATAATACGATAATACATTAAATTAATAAAAAAATGCTAAAAGCATAAAGAATTCTCATCATTATTCTTAACGCGTCTGTAGCACATTCAGTTTTTACCACTTATATGCTATTTTCAACGATATAGTACGTTAAACTTTACGAGGGGTTGTGAAACTAACTTTAAACTTAATTTTTGAAGAAAAAAACATTATTTTTCTATTCACTTTTTACCCAAAGCGTAGTAACAAGGATGTAACTTTATTTAACAATTTTCAAATAATTATAAGGTAATATAATTTTTTAATAAGTACTTTAAAACAAATATCGAGGAGTAATAGCTTGTAGGATATAGGACGGAAAGTAAAGGAGTCTCTTATCTATATATATAAGGAAAATATTATCAATCCAAGGAAAAAATATGTACAAGATAACATCAATCAATTTCAAGAACCACTGCACCAAGTGCACCCATAATAATAACTGCCCTTATCTCGAAAAGTTGACTTTTATATAATAAAAATAAGGTACTCTCCCACGCTGTTTACTTAATCGCAAATAAATTTATTTTTAATTATATTTCACTGTATTGTTCGCTGGATCTAGATTATTTTTCAAAAAAAAGATCGTTTATATCCATTATTTTATACATTATTTACGTTTAGATGTAAACCGATTTTTAAAGATAACATATATTATTTCAATGCCTAAAACCGCATTGGACAAAAATATTTTTATCTAAAACCACTATCTTAAAGTAAATAGTTTTTAATAACCCTGTATAAAGTACGGGCAGAAAAAAGGTGTATTATTCATGTGTGGTTTAGTCCAACAGGTAAACTCCTATAGAACAGACGGTTGAGTATCAATCACGTCAAGAACCAAACTAATGTGCTACTAAGTTCTAGTATTAACACTTCTGGCCAGTGACAATTATATATTTCTATACTAACATCATCAGGAGCCCTATTAATTATAAACTCATGTTCAAATTACCAAAAAGGTAAGAGAATTTCAATATGTAATTTTATTAATATTCAAAAAAGATCAGATATTAATAAACAATATTATAAACATTTAGGCAACGGATTAAATAACTGAACGTAGGTTTTATTTAGTAATGATGGAATTTTTTCATATTCTGGTAAACTTATGTAATAGAACAGTTGAAAAAAGGCCAGTTACATGCATTTAAATAGATACTTAATTGAAATATAGTGCAAATCATGTACAGGCAAGAACCTTTGTATACGTATATAAACCGACAAAACAAAAAGTTCTTTTACACTACAAAATAAAATTTTAGCCTTTTCGGGGGATATTCTACAATAATAAATACATTTTTTTCTTGAGATAAAATGATTTTTATTTATAAAAAAATATACGCAAAAATATTAATGACATATTAAAGTTAGTAATAAAAAAATTAATTAAGAATTTAGTTAGTAAGCTGTATTTAATTTCCCTCTTATTTCTCACGAGTATTTTTCTTTTATACTCTTTAGTTCAGCTATATGTGGATGGTGGCTGCGTCTCCCGACATACAAAACATTTGAAGTCCCAGGGCAGCTAACTACTGCCGACATCTTAGGTGGGATTCAACCCATAAATTTCCAAGTAAGTCACGTAATATCTACGTAAATTATTAATGTTGTATGTTTCTAAATTCTTGGGATATTCAAAGCACCATTATATTTTTTAGCCATGAACCCAAAGGACACATATCAGTCCACCGAAAGTATAGATTCGCAAATAAGTGGCAAAGTCGTACCCGATCCCAATCAACTCACAACAACGACAATCATAAGTTTGTCCCCTGACTTTAACTTCAAGAATGAGACGAAGACAAAACGCACTAGTAAGTGATTTTTTTTGAGTGAGTAACGCAGTTGTTGCAAACAGTTTTGGAGACATTGAGTTTCCTTCTCTGACTCATTTTTTTATGTGAAAATAGTATTATATTGGGTAATATGTATTCAAATATTTTGAAAATTTTCTAGACCTCGACAAGCAAAAATCAATAGAATCCGTACTGTCCACTCCTAGCGAATGTGAAAGATTATTGAAGAAAGAAAAATGGTATTCTGTCACTATACAGATTTTTATACCTTTTATGATTGCTGGTATGGGTACAATAGGAGCTGGAGTAGTGCTAGGAAAAGTTGAGGTATAATAGCGAATCTCTTTAACAAATTAAATTTTACCATACACAATTATCATTTTTACAACAGAAATTTGAAGTGTTCACAACTGTGAGGGCCCTGTACGTTTTAGTACCAGCACTGTTGGGTCTCAAAGGAAACCTGGACATGTGTCTAGCTTCCAGGTTATCCACACAAGCGAATTTAGGTAACATGAAAGGGAAAAAAGAAATCTTCAAAATGATTATCGGAAACATCGGGCTTGTTCAAGTAAGTCCTATTTTAGATACAACAAACTAACTTCTGACGATGCTTTTGTTTAGATTCAAGCCATTGTTGCATCATGCATAGTGTCAGTATTTGCAATAACTGCTTCTGCAGTTGTTAATAGAACTTTTGAATGGAACCATGCATACCTTTTAGCCGCCTCCAGTACCTTAACAGCCACTTTATCTTGTTTCACCTTAGGTAAATATACGTGTTTCGTGATTTAGATAACTTTAAATAAGTCTTTGTCTTTTACAGACTTCGTCTTGATATCAGTGATATTTATTTCACATAGAATTAAGCTGAATCCAGATAATTTAGCAACGCCTTTGGCGGCGAGCATCGGTGACGTTGTTTCCTTAGTAGTTCTGTCAAGCTTTGCCAGACTATTGTTTATAATACATGGTAAACATAAATATAATTAATAACACAATTAATGAAGTACTAATTACCTTTTTTTAGATACTCATACATGGGTAATGTTTGTAATCGTTGGAGTATATGTCCTAATTATTTTACCTATTTGGATCATAATTGTTAGGAAAAATGAATATACCAAAAAAGTTCTATATAGAGGGTGGACACCAGTTATATCAGCTTTGTTTATTAGTGGGTATGTAAAGCTACAGTTCCAGAATATCACTTTAATAATAAATATTTGTTTTAAAGTATTTATTTGCAATAACTCTATTTTGATTTAGATCAAATCATTGGTGTATAGCATTGTTGATTTTTAGTAAGACTTAAAATTAATATATTTTTCTTAACTGTTTAGTGCTGGTGGTTTAGTCCTGGACTCTGCAGTCAACCAATTTCCAGGGTACGTCACTTTCCAACCTATAATTAATGGCATTGGAGGAAACCTTGTCTCGGTCCAGGCCAGTAGAACATCCACTATGTTACATAAAACCTCGATAAAAGGAGTTATTCCTCCGCATACTAAACAGTGGGTTGCTCCATGGACGGCACTCATTGCTGGAGGTAACCATAATCACTTACTTATTTTTCAAGGTATATATGTAGTATTTCTTTTTAATTTTCAGTGTTCCCTGCTAAAACTGCTCGTATCTTATTGGCACTTTCCATCCCTGGTCAAATAGTTTTTGTGATAGTTGCTGATGTAATCGCCAACAATGGAAAAGTTCTTGCCACGTTAGCATTCGTTTGCTCTTACTTATCTGTTAGCTTTATCCAGCTGATAATTCTCCTCTACGTGGCTCACTTAATGGTACATACAATGTGGAAATTCAAGATCGATCCAGATAACTCAGCTATTCCTTATTTAACTGCTCTAGGAGATCTCTTGGGGTCGACTTTACTCTTGGCAGCCTTTATCTTCCTCAGGTCGATAAACCAAGAATACAACCCAAATACAGATAGTTAGTAACGACCAAAGCCGATGTTAAAGTTACCTACTAGTATTTAAGGCTGTGTAATCATAGTTAGAACGATGTACAAAATAGATACGCTAGTGCTGGGCGCCTCCAAAAATTCTCAACTAAATTTAAGGGTTCGATTTTGTATTGAAAATACTCATATTGAGATTTGAAGATGTGGAATATTTATTGACTAGTTCTGTGCAGAGATATAGATATTTTGCGAGACAGATGGCCAATGTCATGGTTAGGTCTAAGTAGATTTTTCATAAGCGATCAAAATGTTGACTTAGTTATATTATCGTTTTATTTTTTTTTAAATTTCTGACGCATTACCATGGCTTTATTAAACTGTCTAATATAAAGTATTACGAACGTGTTACTTTATAAGTATTAAGTTATTTTAAAATATTAGTTAAATTATTATTTTAGGTAGGACTAATTGACTTTAGTATTTAGCTTTTAGTAATTTTAAACTGAGGAGTTCCTCATTGAGCGATTGCAATCCCTTGTTTTATTATAAAAATTGGAAGTATTTATTTCCTCAAAAAAAATTAGATAAGTAAATTTAAAACATAATAATATAAGGTATTTTATACTACATGTTTATTTATTTTTTTATTTCGAAATGTATTACAGATATATTATTAGAATCTAGACATAGGTATGTCTAAGTACATCCTTATGTCCTATGTCTACATAATATATTTGCAAGATATGTTCGTATGATAAATGATTCAAAAATACAATAATTATATTTAGTTTTAATTCCCATTTCATTTCCCCGAATAATTTAATAAGTTCATGACCACCAGAACAAATTTATTTACCAGGCGCATTATATTTGCCAGGCGCATTCGCCATTACATAGAAAATTCAAATTCTGTTATAGAATTAAACACATTTATATTATAAAACAGCAAATTAATAATCATTAACGAGATACTACTTAAAAACTTAATAATTAAATTTAAAATTATAGATAGGTATTCTCAGCAACAACTTGAAACCTTGATCAATAAATTTAATGTATAAGAATACCAAAATGAGGAAAAAATACACACTGTATGTACACTTTTAAATTTTATTAGTGCAAAAATGAGACGAAAACAGTATTTTATTATAAACAAATTCTAAAACTAAACCATCTGTTACAAAAGTAAATATAGATAACAAAAATATGTGGGTTTAGTCAGCCCTTTATTTAATAAAAATCTATTGCTAAGAAAATACATAGCAATCGGTTTTAATCTAAGAAAATAAACACAAAAATGCCAGAAATATCCTATACAACAATTATAATGAATTACTAACGTGTATGCAAATAGATTATTTGTACACGACAATAAAAAAATATTATAAGTCCATCTGAAGTAGAAGTAGTAAAGCATTTTTATTTGTAATATTTAGACGATTAAATATATTTCATTGAAAGATCTTATCTATTACCCAGCAGTGCAGCTCTCCTCAAAATCTTATTAAAAAAAGTGCTCACATACCAAAAAACGCCATTCTTTTAATGTAAATTACATGTACAAAAGCCAATGTTCCTAATATAATAATATTATAAAGCTCAAATATCAAATAACCGAATATTAATGTCAATGACCTCTTATTCAAGCAAAGAAGCCCCTGAAACACCGTCATTTTAAATACAATTCTTATAAACTATAGAGTATCATTGGTTAAAGATCAAACACCCTGCTTCCAAGGAAAAGAAAATTTTAAATCACAGATGAATTTTTGTATTCTGAAAAATCAAAATCTATCTGTCCAACGTGATTATTTTATTTTTTGTTTGAAAATGTGGTAAGATTTTAACAAGCAACAATACGCAACAAAGATATAACCATATAAATAGCACCTCCCCCTGTTTGACAGAAAGCTTATTTATTTGAAATTGACATAGGATAAATTTAGGATAATATCTTGAAAATAAATTCTTACGTATATTTTATAAATTTATAGTATTAGTTGCTTAGTTGTCTTTAATTCAATGGCTTCTTTTGATCGCTTTATTGACTATATTGAATTTAGATAAGTCTTTTTAAAAAATGTGGTGCAAAAAATAGTTTTGTGATCAAGTTACAAGTACATTACTCAAAAAAAAGTCAAAAATTCGAAAATAAACGTCAATTTTTAAAACGAAGTCGTTTTCTGTATGTATGTAAGAAGATTTTACTTGGAACCTTCACAATAATACTTAAAAATAAAATTATCCTAAAATTTGTCATGGAGAAACATGAAGATAAATGATACCAAATTTTATGGCAACTTTTAAGTCATAAGGCAGTGTCGCGAAACGCAATATAAAAATATATAATACAAAAATGAATACAAAACGATTTTTGACAGCGATATCAGCGCAGGGTATATAAAAACTTAAATTATCTTTACATCTATGAGAAAACGCTGTAGGATTTAGAACAAAACAAACCAGTAGAGGCAAAATGGAAGTGGAATATTCTCTGTAAAACAGTTATTTGTTTTATTCTAAGCCCTGAAATTATGAAAACTTAATATTATACTATAATACAATAAACATACAGTGAAATCAGCATGTTATCAACAAAATCATTACAATTTTCAAACTGCAACGAACAACAAAATATATTACTATATCATATATTAAATTCATATTTTGATTAGCAAACATTACAACCTACTTAAAGAACAAAAGGACGAATTTACTGCAATTCAATTATGATAAATAATGAGATTTTCTCTCAAGCTACCGTGATGCCAACTAAACTGAACCTATTCATATAATAAATTAGAGATAGTTCACTCAATAGAAGAATAGAATAAACACCACACTGAAAGCTAGTTTGTAATAATTTCTCTAGACATATGTTGCCATTGCGTTGCTGTGGGTGCCAGGTGCACCAACAGCTCCTATTTGTTTCATATTACTTGGGACATACTGACCAATGAAAGAACCATCTTCAGTAAATCGACCTAAAACCAACAGATTTTTAGATACTAGTTATGATTTTAAAATATTAGTAACAACCACCATACCATTCTTCATTTTTTACGACCATCCAAAATATCAAAATGTTAAAAAATGTTCATAGTAACCACTGCACAAAAAAAAACACAAAAAAAATCAAATTCCATTAAAATGGTTACACAAAAGAAAAATATTATTCACTCAAAAAAAATATATAAATATTAGTTGTCACACTATGTTAGTGGAGTAGTTCTGCATTCCTTAACAAATAGGTTTATTATTTAATAATAAGTATTATGTTAGTCCATCACCAAATATCCAGGCATTAAATTAATAGTAAGATAAAAATTAAAAAAAAAACGAACTCTTACGCATTAAACAAATGTAGCAAACGCCTGTGATGTGGTTTCCCCTTGGCCTTTTTTACGGCCGTATTGGCCGATAAATGAACCATCCTCATTCATACCTTCTACAGAATTACAAAAACAAATAAATAAAAACATACCAAAATAAATATGAATTAAAAGACAAACATATATTTTCGGCAATAAATTAAAATAAAATAAGAAAAGAATAAAATAAAAATCCCTTGACAAATACGTTAAACTAAAAACATATATAATATAATAAAGTTGTAGTATTAAGTCCCCTCAAATGGATTTCCTTTAATTATTGTTTATAATATATATTATTTCCTGTTTATTTGTAAATTATGAAGTTCAAAATTAAAAACACACAGTATATCAAAATATTCGAATATATCACACGAAAGTTGTTTATTTTTAAACCAGGTTATTTTGGTAGCAGGTATAGTCCTACCAGTGGCGGGTAAACAGAGGGTTCAAGAATATGAACTTTATAAAAATATAAATAACAAAAGGTACAATATTATTATTAATATATTTTATTACACATAATTAAAGTAATTTATTTTAGAATAATAATACGTACCAATAACTTTATTCCAACTCAATAATAACAAGGTTTTATAATTACTTTACTTTTTGTGTGAATTTATTGTTTTTTTCTTCTTTCAAATGAAACTTGCTGTGTTAAATTTAAGTTTTTCTTCTCAAATGAGTGTGTTTTTTAACATACTTTAGCATAAAAAAACTGAAAAATAAATAAAAAATTTGGAACCATAAGGTACCGCTTGTAATAAAACCAGCCGTGTTTTTGAAAATCCAAGATTTAGAAATAATGCCACATTTCCTAACATTTTTGAAAAATAAAGTTCAAAAATTACAAGTCTCTATTAGATAATTTAAGCTTCTGAAAGACAGTAACTTTCAAAAAAGGACAAGTTAGGTAACTACAAAAAATCCATTTGATGCTCAAAAATACTTCTCATTGAAAAAACAAAGCATCAACAACTAAAACATTAAAAAAATAGGACTGTGTTTAGGTTTTAAAACTGTATTTTAAAATGAGAAAAATAATTTAAAATATATGTATAGTCATGCAGACTTTTAATAACAATTAATAATACCTGTATCACCATCTCCATATTCAGCCATAGAATCTGTATCACTCTCTGGTCCAATCTTCGGCTCGCTGCTCATAGATGCCCTTCCATGTGATTTGTTGTCTAACCTGTAGAAGATAGAAATAAATAAATCATATTTAACACATTCTGTCGTAGAAAAATCTTACGGTTGCGAATATTCGTGGAAGCCGCCTTCATCAGGATAATCGTGCCGGCCGTTGGCTTGTTCTCGTTCGTGAACTGCGTATTTTCCACCACGGTTTCTTTTAACAATACAGACGATAATAAGAACCAGCAGCAAGAAGACGATGGCCAGCATCATTCCAATAAACCAGCCTGCTGTCGCTACCGGATCTTTAGGAGTGATTTTTATGTCGTCAGCGTACACTTCCTGTGACTCACTGTCTGTTTCAAAGTCCCCATCCACTGAAGTTACTATGAATTCATAAGCCTCTCCTGTTTCTAAACCGGGAACTGAAAGCGAACGAATATTATTAATAACAGATATAAAAAAACGAGTTGTTAGTTACCATCCTGATAATCTTCACTCTTCTCAGGTGGAGTACGTAGATACTGAGTTTCTCCTCTCTTCTTGTATTTGACGTAGAAGTGTGAACCGGGCTTTCCGTCCTCGCTAGGTTTCCAATGTATCCTTACAGATGAAGTTTTGCCGTTTTGGATAGGTTCCCAGTCAAAGTTCGGCTGACCGGGTTTGTGAGAACCTCTTGCTTTTGTATTGGCTTCAATAAAGTACATTTTGGACTCTCCAGCTCTCGTTTTAGCGCTTATGTAGATTCGGTACTTCGTATCGGCATTTAATCCTGATAATATTAACTGTAATTTTTTTATTATGTAGAATATTATGAATACAAACCGGCAAGTTTAGCTCGAAGTTTATTGGGATCTTCAATGTGGGGTGTTCTGGGAATAGGCCTTCCCACCTTCATATTATTGTCGACTTCTGCGTAGTAAATGTTATAACCAGTAAGATTACCGTTAGGCCTCTCAGGTTTCTCCCATTTCAGCAAAAACGCCGAAGATCCCAAAGGCAGAGCTTCTAATGAATCCATCTCACCAGGAACGCCTAAAGATACAACATTTTTATTAAAAAACTGTGCATTAGAGTTAATTTCTTATTAACTACCTTCAGGAGTATGGAAACTAAGAGTTTCGCTTGGAGGGCCGTTGTATTTTCCATTGTAAACGTAAACTTGAGCGTAATTTTTGGTGTTCGGAACGAAATTATTGACGAGAGCCTTGGCTGTGCCTCCTTGAACCTGAATCTCGTTGCGAATAGGCGACTGGTCACTCCATGTCCGGATTTTGTAACCCTTGAAATGACCTAAGAAATACCATTTTTGAAGATATTCAGTTATATTTAATAGTAAGTAAAGTACCTTTGACTGACTCCAAAGGAACCGGAATCCAACTTAAAAGAGCATTTGTCGGACTTTGTACGTTGAGCACACTGAAATTTTGAGGTGCTAACTCCGGTTCACTCTCTCCAGAATATCCAATAACGTCTTGTGGCGAAACGTTAGCTTCCCCTTCGTCATTCACAGCTAAAACTTTGATTCTGTACTGCTGGAAAGACGGCTGGTTAGGAATTTCGAGTTTGTTTTGACGCCAATTTGTTATCTCTTGAGGGGGTTCGTAATCTTTTCCGGCGATGTCCCTTTTGTAGTAGACCCTGTATTTAAATCCGGGAGCGTTATGTTCAATCTGCGGCATAGGAGTCCAAGATATCACAAGATTATCTGGTCTATCTCCTTCCCCAACTACGTTATCAGGATTTTTATGTGGAACTTCCGGTGGTGTTGAGCACATTTCTGAATGAGGTGACGGTAAGGATCTTCCGATTTTATTTACAGCTATTACCCTGAAAGTATAATTGGCCCAAGGACTCATAGGAACTGTGTAAGTTGTATCGACTGCAGGAACATTATCGTACGCTATTTCCCAAGAATCCGCAGTAAAGCTAGTGTTATACTGAATAATATAATGTAATATTCTGGCTCTGTTGTCTCCTTTAGGTGACCAGCGAATCGTAGCGTCTAATTTGTGACATTCCACCTGTATATCACCTGGAGCATTTGGAACTGCCTGAACGATTAACTGGGCCTGCGCTGAAGCTTCGTCCAGTTCAGTTCTTGCCAAACAAGTGTAAGTGCCCGAATCTAATTCGATCGTTTTCGTTATCGTTAATGAATAATCGTAAGATTTAACAAATCGTGGTTCTGCTTCGAAATCGATGGGTTGTCCGTTTTTCAACCAAACTATCTCTAGTTCGAGCGATTCATCCGTTGCAGCGTTACATCTGAAGGTTGCCGATGTTCCAGACTCGACTTCATAGTCCGTCGGACCATCCGTGATGTATGTATGAGCTGTAATCAAAACATAAAGGATATAATGTAAAATAATAACGTATGGAAAATGAAAGGGTACCTTTGACAAATAACCTGGCGCTAGCACTGGCTTTGTCGATCTTATTCTCGGCGTAACAAGTGTAATTGCCTCTGTCGTCGAACTGGACGTCGGAAATAAGTAGATCGCCGCTTTCCTGAACTTTGAACCTGCCTCCAGTCAATTCCTTCCCATTGTGAATCCATTTAATGGTGGGCCTCGGCGCTCCAACTACTTTACAAGTCATATTAATACTTTGATTATCCACGGCGTACGTGTCTCTAGGCGCTTCCGTTATTTCAGGGGATAAAGCCTGGACGTTAACGTAAACGTCTTTGTAGACATAACCCAGAGAGTTGGTAGCGTTACAGCCGTAGTTTCCCGTGTCGTTCTTGACAAGGCGTTCGATAATAAGTCTTCCTGGTTGTATCTTGAGCCTATCGTTTGGAGGCGCCCTTTCAATAGGCTGCCCATTGAAAATCCACTTTATTTCAGGTTCAGGCACACCTCCGGCAATACACTTAAATTCAGCAGTTTCATCTTCAGCGGCTGTAATAACTTTCGGTTCTTCGATAAAGTATGGAACGGCTGTTAATAAAATTTAAAAAAAAATACAATATACTTTAATTTCGATTTTTTTTATTTAACTAATTTACCGTAAACTTTCAGATGGATAGAGTATGACTGAGATTCGCCAACCCCATTACTAACTTCACAAGTATAAGTTCCCGCATCGTCGAAATCAACTATTTTGATTATTAAAGACTTCCCATAATTACCCTGTGTTACCCTGTCTGTAGAGCGCAGAATTTTACCATCTTTGGACCAAACAGTTTGTGGTAGAGGCCTAGAAAAAATATGACAATAATATCTCCTCCAAAAACAGTCTTAAAAACTCACGTTCCGCCGAATATACAGAATAGCTCCACTCTCTTGCCTCGATAACCAACTTCGTTTTTTCTAGTGACATACTGTAGTTTTGGGGGAACTCGATTCAGAGAAGCAGAAACTCCAGCAGAAACAACATTTAATAAAACTCTGTTTCCGTATTTGTACTCGTGTTTCGTTGGACTAGTAGCTGCGCAAGCATACATAAAATTATCGGTGTTGTCTGACATAGTCAAGTTGGAAAACCACAAATTCCCCTCGGGATCTAAGGTCATTCGAGAAGAGTTGATCGTTTTGAAGCCTCCGTTAGTATACATTATAATCCAATGTACGACAGGCTTGGGCCATCCATCTGGCGGTTGACATGTCAAATTAAAGGGTTCACCTTCTCGTCCAGTTAATGAAATGGGTGGAGTATTTTTAAAAGAATTTAATTCTGCTTTTCTCATAAATACTGAGTTTGATGTAGCAATACCGTACTGATTTTCTGCGAAACATTGGTACTGTCCAATATCTACGTCAGAAGGTTTGGCGATTGAAAGGGTACCTCGCCCAGTCTGTTGAGATATACGATCGTCATATGCCTGCCAATTGAACTTTTTACCATTTTTGATCCAATAATATCTACAAGAATAAGACCGGAAGTTAATATTATCAACAGGCTCTAAACCAATGCCTTAAAGCGACTTACTTTGGAGCTGGTTCTCCCTCTGCTTCGCATTCGATATAAAAAGGTTTGTCGTTTTCTCCCTGCTCAACTTGGAACAGGACTTCGTCTGTGGGAGGCTGCTTAACAATTAATGGAGGGGATGGTACTAAAAATTTGGCCACTTAGCAAACAAACTTGGCGAAAAATAAAGTATAAATTACCTTCTCTAGCGTTACAGCAATTGCTATAATAATAAATTACGAATAGAAAAAAATAACAGCCTATTTTGGACTTCATCGTTATAAGTATTGAGCTATACCTAAAACAAAAAAACGACATCATAGCTCAAATAATATATTTCTATAAAATAGAAGATAATGAACTAGCTTACCATTTTTTAAAATAGTTTTTTTAATAAAAATATCCAAAAGAAAAAAATATTTTCTCGTTACTTATATATAATATTTTTTAATTACATACATTAATGAAATTTACTCATCCCTGCTATTCTTTTAGAAATACAATGACGTTTAATCTCAGTAACGCCACGTTACTCCTATCTTCATTTCCCCCAATCATTCTAGACTATTTACACACTTTACAAATATTAATTATTCAAATTTATATAGGTTTAAAGTTAGTTTTAATACGGACGCCTATGGTTACTTTTCAATAAGTACAAATTTCTCACATTTCAATAACTTTTCAAATAAGTTTAGAATTACTATAGAAGCATGCTATAGAAGTTCTAAGGCAGAATGACACCCTCTCATGGATTATATTTCATTTTAACTGCCATTTTGATTAAAAAAGCATTGTTTTATTCACAATATACAGAAATTTTATAAAATTGAGGTGGATAAAATACTGGGCTAATGAATATCTTTTTTAATAAAGCATTTAAAATAGTTCTTAAAAAAACCTTCCAGCATAGCCTTCCAGACTAAAGAATTTGGAAGTGTACGTAAAAAATGTAAATTATAAATTTTATGTTAGGAAACATACCTATTATTTGTCTTCCTGCCTGACATGTTTTCTATTCGACTATTTCAGAACTACTATATTCCAACAATTTTCAATTGTAAAGAAACAGATAAAACAAAAAAACAAAATAATCAAATAACTATGTAATAAAAAAGGTTTTTATATCACACCTTTGTTTATGTCCAGGTAAATAAACAATTAGTTTATTAATATTATATACCTAGTAAACATAGTAAATAATGTAAACAACCAGAGATAAGGTACGAAAACAAAAAAGAATTTAAATTCTAGAGTGGGTTGGTTAGTCAAAACAGAAATATAACGATTTTTTTATATTGATGACAATTTACCACAAATTAGCGAAACCGCAATATAGTAATAGGAATTAAAATAGTAATGATTCATTTAGCTAATTCAAATTAAACAGGAATTCCTTTGATAAGGTTTCTCAACCATGGAGGGCAAAAAACTTTTATGAATACTTACAATATTCACAAATATGATCCAATTTGTGGCTCTAACATTTCTTGTATTTCTTTATACATAGATATTTTGAAAACTGTCCTTGTGAATAGAAAAAAATCTCTATATCTAGCTAGGCATATAAAAGAATTTTGTTTTATTAAATGTAGTTCATGCAGGTCCTAGCATTTTCTATCTGTCGAAAAAGGGATATTTTAAGTGTGCTTTATACATAGAGTATATACACAAAGTTAATTTTGTAAATATTTATTGTTATACATGTATATTCAAACGTGCATTTTTATAACATTCGCTATCAAATGTTATCAAATATTCTTATTAGAAAAATAAAAACGATTAGGAAAATTCTATTTATATTTCAGGACTAATATATATGCCAACTAAAATAACAGTGACATCATGCAAGAAATGCAAATAAAATATAACTACAATACAATATTATGCCTTTAGGGCATACTGCAAGAATGACGAAAATGTTATTCATTAGGTGAATATTCTAATTTTATCAATGCTCTCAAACAACCTTACAAACGTTATTCTTCACATTTGTCTACATTGTCGTTGACAATTAGGTTAATCAAAATAATCTTCTAAGATGACATCATAACTACATTATTTAAAGTTTATAAATTATAACTAGGTGTAATATCAATATATTTGAAGATGTTAATGTATTAAACAAATAACTTCATTTTCTGTTTTCTGTTAGATTATAAGAAGTTAAATCACTGTAGACGCTATTACCTGTCAAACACCTTTAATGATATTTACCTACTACAGTAAAAAAGGGCATGCTTATCTACTTATTAATTAAATTCTGTGCTAATTTAGTTTTATCAGTAACTTAACAGAATAAATAGAACAGTACATCAATGTCACTTATTTATAAATAAACGGCATTTTTAGAACACAGGTAACCCTCTGTATATATAAAGAAACATATTTTTTAACACCATTGTATGTGCGTTTCCTCGTCATTAAGATTATTTTTAGATATTCTTTTTTATCATAAAGATAAATAGCCTATCACAGCATTATAAATGATAAGATAACTTACCAAAATATCTTAAATAGAACACTCGGTCTTCATAACGATTCTACACACTCGTCCACGGTACACAGTCAACAGACGAACGATAGAAGAGGTGCGGTTTAGTTTGCAGTTAGTCACACACAAAATCTACAGTTCGGTTTAAAAAACAAGGTTTTTGTAAAAACTTATCGGTAAACTTCCTTCTCTATCATTGTATATATCACACAAAACGAAAAAAATTGCTATTATGGTGGTTTTAGCAAGAAGTGATTCACTTTTCTTTCATTTTGGTAGGCGTGGTAACGAATTAATACGCTGCTGGACTCTAGCGGCGATTCACTGAACTAACTAACTTCTAGAAACCGTTTTTATCTGCATACTTAGTTCGGTTTCCACCTTTACACACTAGATGGAACCTTTACCTTTTTAATTTTAGCCAGTGGCGTAGCAAAGATGGGGTATATTAGAAAATAGCGCGAATATATTATAAATAATTATTTTAAATTATTTTCATAATTTCCAAAAAATGATAGACAGTTAAATGGATTTACATTTTATTATTAACATAAAACACAAAACAATTAATATTAAGGAGCACTTCAATTAATTAAATTGGTGTTGATAACATAAACCTCAACTACAGGAATGTACATTATGTTTATACATTATTTATAATGCCATAATTAACAAGGAAAGAAATAAACAAATTAAATTAATAACAAATAAATCTTAAATAGGAACATAACTGAAGGAATGACTAGCACTAGTACAATACAGTCTTATTAATCAAGTGAAGACATCTTTAATGTTTTGAAATTGCCTAACAGCCAAATCCACTGGCAAGTCAAACTTATATTTTGTCAAGACATCCAGACTTTTCAGGCTGTCCTGGAACCCTATAATGAAAAATATATATTTAAAAATTTGTTGCCTTGGACATTAGAAAATATACCAGTTTTGCTGACATAACTCCAGGAGAGATAATGTTCTTTTACAAGCTGATTACATGTGAAAAGAAGATTCAGCCAAGGAACAAGTTTATTTGCACTAAAAATTGCCAATGTAAAAAAGTAATAAATGACAATAAAGAAAATTACTTTAAAGCAGCACATATAAAAGCTTTGAAGTGAGAATCTAAGCTCCTTTTATAAGGGGTATGTGTGGAAATAATACTCCCAATTGCACACAGCATATTGTGCTTATTACTATTAGGTGAAGCTCCTGCTATATCCAAATTAAAACTTTGAGACAACTTTCTTGCTGGTGTTGAATTATACTTTTCGCCATTTTTGAGATCATAGTATTCTGAAAAAAAATCTGAAACATCAATCAATATAGAAGCATAATATACCTAAAATTATCTCCCAAGCATGGATCTGAGTATTTAAAAGTGAATTTCTTCTTGGAAAACATCCTATAAAAGGAACTAGACTGGTACTCTGAGTTACACATGAACCATGTTGAATAAGATCTCTAATACAAGGGGCCAAGTACTTTCTGACCGCTGTTGTAAGTTGAATGTTGCAATATGTAGGTTGACTTTCTGCATCACTTGCATAATCACCTTGATTTTGATGGGAAACAAACTGTTGGTCATTATTGGCCACTGCTAGTTCTCTCACTCTACCTATAGCCATTTCTAACTTTGCTCTTAAGTCCCTGTGCAGTACAGTAAAAAATTAAAGAGGAAAATTGAAATAATGTTACATTTTATACCCCCAATGGTTTATTTTTGTAGAATTTTTTAAATCATTTTTTCGAAAACTAGATTTTACTCCACAACCCAGTTGCATCACAGCAAACATCTGTAAAATTGTTGCAGTTTTTTGAATCAATCCTAGTGTTGTTTCACTACGAAATGGTTTTTTGACTGAATGATATGCACAACCACAACTGCATTTTTTATGCTTGCTTCCATCATTTTGTAAATAACTGATAAATCGCTCCAAATCAGCCACTTGTGTTTTTAATTGAGCTACTAAATGTTCCTTGACTTTTAAAGGACTTATCAGTTGGTCTAATGCCAGATTTATTTGTTGCTTTACACATTCTGGAGTCATCTACAAATAAGACATTTTTAAATTAAATAATTAAAATATCTAATTCCTTACTTGGTGATAGTCTTGTTCATCTAATTCTAGATTCATTCTTGTTTTCAATTCATTTAAAATAACTCTTTGTCTCTCCAAAAGAACATCTTGTGGTATCCCAGCCTCACCATTTTCAAAAGCATATTGCTCCAATTCTCTTAACTGACCCTTAAGCCTATCAATAAGTTCACGCTGCTGTGTACGTCGTAATCTTACTGCTTCAGCTAAACTGGCTTCATCCATCTTTTCCTTCACTAAGCCTACATCAGGAATGCCCCTAAATGCAAATTCTTCCAAAGATTTTAGAAGCTCTTCTCTATCCTCAATTGGCGAATTTACAACCTGCCTCAACCTAAATTGAACCTGGGCAAAATGAGTAGTCAAAGCAAATAATGAAGAATTTAACAGTTCTTGTTCGTCTTCCATGGTACGAATCTTTTCAACAGCATATCTATAAATGTATAGTAATAAAATTTAATGACATAATTTTAAAACTTACTGGTGCTGTTCGTCACAAGCAAAACTCATTTTATCAAAGTCGAAATCGTCGTCTTCATCGTTGGGTGCACCCAAAGGGTCCCAACGTTCCCCTGTGGGATGTTCTTCAAGTGAATGGTCTGGAGTGGTTTCCATATTTTGACGATTTTATACAAATTTACAACTCATACCTTTAGCACCATGTTCCGAAAAATATATTTAACTAATTTATTCAACGGAAGTAAACTGTGATAACATTTTAAAATTGTTTATTTTGATAACAACAATTTTAAATTGTAAAATACTCAAGCTGTTTCTAATTTGACGTTAAAATTGACTTAAAAATAGATAAGGAACGTACAGAGTGTTGCCTAAGATTCTAAAGAGGTGTATAACTGGCTGCATAAACTAATATTTTGCTAATATTGTTTCTTTAATAAATTTAAAATTAAATTTCTAAGAAGATAGGAAATATTTTAATATAGGAAAATGTTTAAAATATCACAATAAGTAATGTTAATAATAAAATAAAAGTAACTGTAGAGAAAAATTTGTATTTTTTAATATATATATATTTAACCCTTTTACTGAATATACCAGTTTGATATATAATGATTAAATTGAATATTACTCTTGTGTGGAAAGAGAAAAAATCGACAATATGTTTTAAAAATATTACTTTTGTTTAGAGAATGGTTCAATAATTATTACAATCATTTAATTTCAATCTGTGCGTTGTTAAATGCGCATGTGTGCGTCTCATGTACCAACATCAGGTTCCAAAAGTAGTCGAGTTTTGTTCATGGACTTAGATGGTGAAGTGTTATTTGTATCTGCTTTTTTGCGATGATTACCGCGTTTAAATCGAACTTTCGGCCTATTTGTTTTTCGTCCTATACAATATCATATTTTTGAGCCGTGTGCCTTTTAATACAATAAGACATTTTTTATGTGGACCGAGGTACCGTTGCAAAGAATCAGTGGAAATTACTGTGTTTATAAAGTGCTGTAACATTTACTTTGGCTCATTTTTACCTAACAGGTTTGTAATAGTATTCTATGTTCTCATTGGGATATCATTAGCATTAGCATTAGAAAACCTAAAATATATCTTATATTTTTTTATTTATTTTTAATTCTTTTAAAACCCTCTGTGTAATTATAAGTATCTAGAATTTAATAAAAAAGTATTTCATATAATAAATACCTAAGTTTTTATTCAGAAAATTCATGATAATAAAAATACAGTCAAACAAAAATTAACAAAGATAGAGATCTATTTTTTGCAATAATGGATGATAAAAACTGGATTAAAAAAAACATAAAAAAATAAATACAAAAACATATTCATAAAGAAAACAATAAAATGATACATTAAATTAACCGAAAACATGAAAAAAACATTAAACCTATCTATAATATATAGATCCCTTTAAATGTGTAGTTATAAAATTTGAGATAGATATAGATACAGTAGTCATTAACATATGTATGTTCCCTCCTCTAGTGCAACTCATACCCATATATTATGGTAAAATGATTTTTGTTTCTAATGAAAAATATAGCCAGTTTCATGTTCAAGAATTTAAAGTTGATTTAATTAAATCAGTATGTTTATCTGGCAAATAATACATTACATTGTAATAAAATATGTTGATCCTGTTTGGAAATCTTTATTTACGTGCAGTAATGAAGCGTTTGATTCTAATAAGTTCAGATAAGCAAATACTAAAAATGCCAGAGCCGGTTCTTGGTCGTGGATATGAAATGACATCCATAAACAAGGGCATATTAGCGTTAAAAGAACAAAAAATACCATCTCGTATGACCACTTCCTAGGTATCTACATTGAAGGCAACGTTATCTATTATAAAATAGAAAACAAAAACAACATAAGTTCTATATAATTTACTACAAAATATAGCCATTCAATTATACTGTGAGGGCTAAAACAAAAATATTGAAATATATAAATGTTTTCTTATTAGATACTTTTTACTTAATTTTTTTAGCTTTTTTGTTCTGACGATGGGGGAATATAAATCTCTGAAACTAGTTCTCTTTTCTCCTTACTACATTTTTTTATTTTGTTAAAAAAAGGGTGCAGGGTATATAGTATACACTACTTGGTGCAGGGGTTGAAAACAGGTAAATTACCCTACTCTAAACGTATTTTACAAAACCCATCAGGATTGAAAAAAAAACAACGTCACAGTGACCTTTGAAAAAATAACCGATTATCATTCCTGTTGAGCCTACTCTGGAAGTTTATAATTATTTAACTGGAAAAAAGTAAATCATACTAGTTTCGAGAAATGCCACTCATTCACACCCAAATCTATATTTTTTAAAATGGATTTGTGTCTGAAAACTTCTTTTTTCTTAATCAAATGTTACTTTTTTGTTAATTTTTAATAAACGAGATATAGACATAACCCCGACAGAAATGATCATCCGTAGTTATCCCTTGAAAATCAAAAAAAGTAAAGTATCTATGCTGGTGAAATTTTACCATTTATGTCATTAATTTGTGTTTGTTATACATTTAACTAAGTAATTCTAAATAAATCTATATTTATTTTTTTCTTTTTGACCAGTGAAACTACAGGAAAAGACTTTCTATTTAAATTGTCGAATAAAAAAACAATAAATATGAAATTATTTTTATATAAGCATTTTTACCTAAATATTAATAAATTCGCTATTTATTTGAAAGTGTTTATTTGCATATAGCAACATTTCCATTACTGAACATTTTAATAGGCACGTATAAATGAGTGTTGCAACACAATGCAACCGAGCTAATGTACTAAACTACTGGGCATTTCAAATTAAGTTTACTTCTAAGCATGTTTTTGATTTTACGCCAATAAAACAGAAAATTGCAAATCAATACCTCCTGCATAAGAACCACAAATTGAAATTTTTCCGATTTTAAAATTGCTCTTTTTGTTGCCGCTAATAAAAGGTAATTGCATAATAATGACCAGCATAATCATTAGTGTGGTTTACTACTGTTTTCTTTTTTATCATTTTGAACTGTATCAAATTACATCTTTATCGAATTTACATTCATTGTATGGTATAAATGGTTCAATTGATTCTTTGTTCTTTCTGTTAACAAACGCATTCCGTATCAGTCTTTGTTTAAACAAAAACAATTTAATTTATTTCATTAATTACTCATTTTTATACCTCGAGGTTAAATACTATCAAAGAAATTCCAGAAGCAATTTTATTACTTATTACTAAACAAGATATTTCGCAATTATTAAATAATATCGACCTTATTGAAACTACATATTTTAAAAAATTAAGTATTTAGTTTGTTGGATATATTTTATATTTAATATATTGTTACAATTAATTCTTACTTTATTTATTATTTAATAAAATTATAGGAAAACGTTACACCTCCTAGCTTGACCTTAAAATATGTCTTATTCGATTTGTATTCGCCGTACAAGTATGGTAACATGGTTTTGCGTAAAATGAATTTTTATTCGCGTTGTTCCGCCATTGTTAGTACACACAGTGCAAATAATGAAAATGCTCGTATAAAGAAAATTTCACTTTTGTTGGGAAATAGAAAGTCACTTTGGTGCTTGGAATAAAATTCCTCTGCTATTTATCTATTTTATTAAGCATTTTCTATGTCTAAATCAATAGCGCTCTTGAATATTTAAAACAAGAAATTCCTAACATGGCTTTAACAGTTTTTGTTTACGTTCTCAGAATGGTTATTCCAACATTTGCTTAGTTCCAATAACTGACAACCTTTAAAACACTCTATACATCTCCTTTCTAGACAGTATCAAATCAAACAAGATAGGCTTATTCAAAAGGGCCAAAAACTAAATTTATTTTTATATTTTCAATTCCATATTCTTTAACCAATCACACCCAAGCGTTTGAAATAGACTGCTTCTCTTATATCTATTAAAATATTATTTCAAGCAGAAGAAAATAAGTGTAGTATTCAATTCAAGCAAAAGTATAATTAAATTTGCTTGATTGTTTGTGCTGTACTCTCAAAGACTCTCTAATGCAGTTTTTAAAATTTCACCTGCTGGTAGGTGCTCTGAAAAGGTCAGAGATCAGCACGCAAATTTGAATGGAATTGCTTAATCCAATTTCAGCGTTTTAATAAGAATTTTCAGGTCATTGGTGCGCGGGTCTTTATTTTTTAAGCGAAGTATTGTTAACAAATATTGCTTTGGCTATTGACGCAAAATATATTAACCATTGTGTAAATTATGTATAAACAGTTAGTGACCTCACGACAATGAACTATACAATGCTTTGGCTTAAATTTTATCGAATTAGCGCTAAATATAAAGATACAAAAATAAATGTGAGTTAAATATTTACTTTTTGTCATAAACGGTTTCATAAGGACATTTTACAACATTTTAAACAAAAAAATGCAGTTTATTTGCAAATGTATTGGAATCACAGCGTTTTCAAAATTATATTTTGCCATACCAAATAATATTAATATATGTGAGATTTGGCTCTTTATAATTCAGAGAACTAGATATTATGTATAGAGTATGATTAGTTTATGTTATGAAGGAAATCCACTGTTTTATTGGGAAAATATGTACTACATTCCGACATCAGAAGTGGGATAGATCTACTAAAAGCATCACAGTGTTGTGTTTGAACCCAAAAGTGCTGGAAAATGAGATAAAACCATAAATCAACAAGTCCAGCAGTATTAGTGAATAAAAAGAATGATAGTACCTACAGGAAACTTTGAAAATTGGACCATTACGTAAAAATCCTTTGGAAAAATATACATACCTTCTACTTCACAAATGGGAAGACTCAGGGCTGTTACGATGTGCATTATATAAACTAAAGTCATGTTTGCTAAAATAGGTCTTTTCAGTAGCCCCGTTGAGGTAAAAACTAAGGCAGTGAAAAAGTAAAACTTTGGAGGATACGTTTGAATAAGATAAGTACACAGATATCAATAAAGTTACAACTATCAAACTTTCGGTTTCTTGTTTGTGATTTTTTAAACGCACAATTGAAATTAATATTTCAATAAATTAAGTTTGTAGAACAATCAAAGAATCAAATAAAAATAAAAGGTTCAGATCAAGTAATGATAATGACATAATTTTAGGACAGCCTGTATAACGATAAGTTATACAGGCTGTCCTAAAATTATGTCTATGTTATAACTAAAATTAAAAACAAAGTATCTTTTGCATAATCTGCTGCCAAATTTGATCCAAGCAAATTAAATTCTCAAAGTCTAAAGTATCTAAATGAATTTTATAGAGCTGTTAATTTCTAGTGAATAAATTGAAACACACACACACACAATATAAAGGTTTAACAATCATCATTTTATGACGTTTTATAGAACAAATACATTTGCTTTCAAATATTGTTGTTTAGTTTTGCTCGAGTAATTTGTTTAAAGAAAAATCTCCTTGCAGAAATGTACCTGTTATAAGATCATGTCATTAATAACAGGATTATTGAAAAAAGCGCCGCGGGCAGCGCATTTAAGTAAAAGGTTAAAAGACCTTGGCATTATGCAATACAAAGTTAAATTTTATAGTGATTTTCAAACATTCCTTAGAACAAAACGGGCTGGACAAGTGTACGTGGATGAAAATATTGCAAGGTTGGAAGGTTCATTTCAAAACATACCGAAATATTTCGTATTTTATTTCCAGCAAACGTGAATAACTGTTTGTAAATTCGCTCTGTGAATATTTTAATGATTCATTCTGTGCAATAGCGACTTGTAGCCCACTTTACGATTAATAGACATCCATATTTATGTTACAACTTTAGATCTTTGTTGCCGTAATAAAAATAACAGCAAATCAAATTACTGTTTATATGATAGATAGGTACTTTAAAATCGATTTTGAATTTTCTTTGAAAATGAAAGATTTCAATTTTACAATTGATACAAGTAAACTTGAACTTAAGTAACTATTTTTTTTGCATAAGTGTGTGAAATTTATTAAATTTATATAGTCAGCATTTCAACTACGCATTACTATGTTTTAACAG